AAGGAGAGAAGATAATAGGATAGAGGCACAGGACATTCGAACGCTTATTTTATAAAGGCATTTAATATTGCTTTGCTGGGAAGATATAATTGCTCATTGCTCATATCCAGCATGTCATCTTCAAACAATTTTTGATATTAGCAGTGATAAAATGGCTTCAGAGAGGTTAAGTGGCTTGGCCAAGACCAAAGAGGAAGCAAGTGTGTGAATTAAGCTGAGAAATCAGCCTGTTTCATAAGGCTCAGCGTTCCAGTTCAAGCTCACAACCTGATGCTTAGAGCAGTATTCCATATTTATCTGTCATTTGCATTTTATCTCCTTCCTTCCTTTCCTCTCTCACACCCATATAGAGTTCAAGACAAATATTTTTAATTTCTCTAGTTCGTTAAAAAACAAAACCTGGACCTTGGTCCTTATGGTCCAACTCTTTCACTAAATTAAAAACAGTCCATCAGTTTCACATTCACTACTCTAAATCTTCCACTGTGCAGAACAGCAGTATGAGGGGAAAAAAAACCCAAAAAACCACACAACAACAAAAAGGTACCTATATATTTTAGTATTTAGCAGCTTCTAGAAGGTTCCTCTTGGAGATAATTTCCTGTTAGAAAGGGGATAGAGCCTACCATAAACATAACTGTTTTGAAACAAAAAATGTTCAGTAGCTATGAGAAATTTTTGACTCGTAGTTGTTTTGCATGGCTGCTTCTTCTTTTTTGACCTGTATATCCTATATTTTCCATCTGTTCAAGCCATGATTTCCAGTCCACTGGAGCAAAAGCAATGGTAAAAGCATTTTGCCAGCAGCCCTTGGCCTCACTTTACGAATACAGTTCCAAGCCTTGCTCCCACTCAAGGTAGAATGTCTAAAAATAAGGAACTGTTTCAAATAAAAATTAATACAATTTTCACATAAGAATTATTGGGGGAGGGGGGTGGCCTTCCTTTATCAGAGAGATCAGCGTGGTAAGAGACCAGATAGATGCAGCGTACACCGGCTTTCATAATATTTGCCAATATAGGAGCAGAAGCCATAAAGACCTATATCCATTACAGCGCACAACAGCCACCAGCACACCACCTTTCGTCCCAAGTCACTGTACTGCTGTTGCAATCAGAGGACACAACATGGCCATAGTCACGATCCCCAGCACTGCCAGGTTAGAGAAGGAGAAAGGAGAAAGAGGTAAATGAACTGACTCACTTAAAGTCACTCTGGAAGCTTACAGATTATTGGGTACCAAATCTGTGCCTGCAAGAAGAAACCCCATGTCTTCATTATATGACAACGGCTGGCACTACTAACCATATTAGCCTCTTGTTAGTTTTAACCAGATGCAACAGACCCCCCCACAGATATTGTCTGCGGTCTTTGAAAACTAAGGTTCTAACAAAGTTTTGCCTACACCCTT